TATGAAACTCTCGGAGACTCGGTATAGAGCGCACTCAAACAGTAAAAAAAAATCCAGATCGTGATTTAGATGATATGGAATGCGATTTTTTTCATTTTGATTTCACCAGGTGATACAGAAAATTGAGTAGAAACTATATAAAACTGAAATAAATATAAATTCAACATGATAAAAATGTAAATAAAATACCAAATTGATTGGACTTCCAATAAAACGGGAACTTATTTGCTTTGAAAATAAAACACCACCGTGCGCAGCGTAAAAATAAAAGTTCAACATGTTTAGAGTGAAAATAAAAGACCAACTTATTTTTTTATATGAAAATTTGAGCTCACTTTTATCCTAACCCATTCAAATATGAACGTTTGCTTACCATCGATGAGCTTGGTTGCATATGCATCAAGTGCTCTATTCGTGTCAATGTACTGGAGAAATGCTTGCAAAGCGTATTCATACTGTTTGTATGCTGTGAACTTTTCTTCAAAATGACGCAAAATATGATCAGCATATGATTTATGGTCTTCGGCTCGTGGACCAGGCTGCTCATCAAATGACTCACGATGTAGACGCATCTTTTTATCGATTTCAATTGTCAACTTTTTGCGCCATTTGTTCCGTCGCGATGAATTTATCATATCTTGGTATTGGCCCGATGTCAATCGAATGATTGTTTCAGTGCGATTATTTCGATCGTTGAAATTGTTAATGCGCACACCACCAATGACCAAACGTAGTCCAGGATCGAGACCATACACTTGTTGGCTTTTCAGAAGCATCTCTTGTGTCTCTTTCATACGCTCTTCATCGTCTTTTTCAATGATGAATTTTGTTCGTTCCATCAAAAATGACATACCGACACCATCTGTTTGAATGGAGTTGTCGAATTTTATTGTTGCATGGCCATCATTTTTGTTTCTCGGTTCTCTTTCGATGCTATCGATGTCGAAATACAGACGCCATAATACATCCCATTCTTTACTTTTGATGTCTTTCTCCTGTTTTGGGCCGCCGTTTTTATTGCGAAATAATCGATGTGGACATTCTATCTGTCTCAACATGCGATAAAACACTCTACGATCAATTCGAATGTAATGTCTTTCGAACGATGACGTTGGTACCACGGTGAAATTTCTGTATTCACGAAGCTCGGTTCGTTCACCTCGCCTCAATGCGGCCTTTCGTTCACGTTCATGATTGCGAATGTACCTATTTTTGTATATTTTCCAAAAAATAAATTGATAAAATTACTCGTGTGATATTTGTAGAATTTTCAAAATGGAAAGAAATCGCATAAAAAATACAATCGTTTGATTCACAATAATAAATGAACGAAAACTCACTGTTGCAAATTCAGGAATATTGGTATGTATTTGAACCAATTGCTTTCCATAGCAAAAAAGTACCCTTTCCCATCGTCGAATCGGATTGGCTTTAATGTATTTTCCAGTTCCCACATCAAATTTAGGTCTGGCACACAGTTGGAGTTTCGCTTGAATAAGAAATCCATGGTGTCATCAATTTGTGCTTTGCTCGCGTTTTGATGTGTGAAAAACTTTCGGATGCGTGAGTGAGCGTGCATACAAATATTATTTTTGTAATTTGTATAAAACATTTGTACTGCGTATTCAACTACATTCCCGAATCCTTCAATTACTGGAGCTCGAACACCGTATTTTTGGCAATAGTACCAAATGCCGTAACACAACCTGTACCCGCTTTCTCTGGCGTCGTTAAATGCACGCTCAATGAACTGAACGCCGTAAAACCAATCTCGAAATAAATTTTTGTCGACGAATTGAGTATAGAATGCTTCGATTTGCTCGTCTGTACTGCGCTTGAAATGATCACTGGTGAAATAATGCAAATTCAGTGCACCCAATATGTAGCACCGTGTCATTTCTAATACGTATACGTCAATCAACTGAGCAAATTTTCCAGTGTTAATGGGCAGATTCACTTTTAAACCTTTTCGAGCACTTTTTTTAATTGTTTGGTGTTCTTTAATTTTTATCTTCTTTCGTGGCTTAAACGCCGATTCGTGATTCCGTTTGCGACCGCTCATTTTTAGCAACTGTTAACGTATTGGAATCTCCACCGATATTTATACCTCGAAATATTGATGAATAATCAAAATATATTTTGATAAATATAAAAGTGCCGGTTTAAAAATATTCAGGCCACTGTTATATTTATCAAAAACTACAATGACTATCATAGACTATGCATGCCATGCCATCAAATAAATTTATTAATTATACTCAAAAATCGGTTGATTTAGCAATGTATTATTGTTGATGAATTTATAGGTTCCTGGTATTTTAAAAACAGGCCTCTAAAAATTTATCAA